TTGATGACGGTGAGTCCTCATTCGGTTTTCTAGCTTTTAGGACTGTAGGGACGTGATCACTTTACAAAAGGTCGTCGTGTACAGCCGTCGTGGAACACACACAATGTATAATGAGAAATATAATCTTCAATAACTTTCCCCTTATTGTTTGTACTTGTACTTCCCCGTAGGGGGTATGAAGGGTTTTGGGAGCTGATCACATTGATTCTGAAGATCAAGACTCTCAAAGCGCAGATGAAAGTGGAATATGCAAAGTAAATGCTATGTGCATGGTAAGGCGGATAGCAACAGCTTGGTATTCAAATGAACAACACTCTGAATGACGTCCTGTCTGACTAAAATGGTAGAGCCTTCAGTTCCTTTTTCACTTTTAATGCCTTAGATCAAAATTGTCTGCATGATAAAGATATGTCTCTTGGCGACAGATTGCTGACTTCTTATAATCCTGATTAATACAGGATAACTCGTTAAACTTGGTCCCGAGACCTCTGCAATTCCCCTGAATTATATAATTGGTGTTACTCCTGAAGTTGGAGTAACAATGGATAGAATCCTGGCTTTATTTTTAGGTGGCAAGTGGCTTCATGTACGACAACAAGTGCTCATGATACCTCCTAATCATATCCATACTTGTTGTAGAGTTCATGGGGATCTTTGAGTACCTTTGACGCCTGTTCAGTATGAATTTTCTATTGGGGAATTTCAACATTATGAGATGCTTTAAATTTTAGTGGTGTTTCTGTTTATGTTGATGTGGATGCTACTTGGGTTGATGCTGGAGCTGTAACTTTGTTTTTTCATGTTGGCTAGGTTTCGATTTACGAAACTCTCTTTATAAATGTGGCGTGTCTAATACTGCTTACAACAAAACTATCTCATAGTAAAATGATGCTGTTTTAACCGTTTTAACTACTTGATGGAGTTAGTATGTTTTTACGCCGTTTTTAGTAATAATCACGTCAGGGGAAACCAGAAATGGGCTTCAAGATTATACCCTAGTTGGGAATTTAACCTGGTCTTTGGTGTGACGAGCGAATGCTTTCACCACTAGGTTACCCCACCGCCCTGTTTTAACTACAGGAGCATAAGAAAGTCATGTTGTGTTAGCAGATACACGTAAGCTTGCATATTTACTGGTATCAGTGTAGCTGATCTTTTGCTCTCATTAATCTTTTGTGCAGTCGAATGTAACTTAAATTCACCGTTGTCAGTTGAAGATGACATATGATCAGCCTGACAATCAGAGAATTTAAAAGGTTGAGCATGAATTTTTCCATCATGATCAATTTCCCCACATCTAAAACAAATAGCCTTACCACTGCACGGATTTTGCCCTTCAACTCACCAAGCTTTACCCTTGGGTCTTTGTTCCAAAAGAAATACAGAGTAAGTCGCCTTTAGATTCTATGACAAGGAACCGAGGCCAAGTGTCCGTCTCTTAATACAATAACCTATTCACAATTTCATCCTCAAATGAATCGAGTTCATAGTCAGATTTTGAAAGTTTTCGGTTCATTTTGTTTGTTTTGTGTTTAACCATGCTTGTATTTACTGTGGTTCAGCAAACCTGTTCCTTGCCCTGGACGGATTGTCAACAAGGGCCGGGGTATGGCATATGTAAGCAGCATTCCAGCAAACTAAGACCATAGGGATGGATACAGTGATGTTATACTCTATCAGAGCCAGAGGAGCAACCAGATTGGCCCATGAGCCACCCGTCCTGGGTATCTAGGCAAAACTCGTATGTAACATTATGAACAGAAGACCATTCGAAAAATAGTCAAACCATATCTAAAGTGTGATACACAGGGCTTGACATGCTAACCTAAGTGATAGAACCCGTTCTCCCACCCGTCTAGAATAATGATGAAGACTACAATGAACTATATTCACTGTGTGTTCATTAATATGGATTACTAACACGCTCTGTGGCTCCATTATTTATGCCTGATATACCCACGAATTTTTAGTGAAAGACGAGGATCCTCCATTCTGCAGAGAATCACGGTCAAGCATGTCCTCCTTGACTGTATTGATTTTTCAATGACAAGGGATCATCGCTTCATCGCTCAAGGATCTTTATCAACAATATCAGCTCTCATATAATTCTTGTTTTTTTAAAAAGAAATAGAATTGTTTAATAAATTCTGAAATATGTGTTTAAATGATCGTTATTAATATTGGTAGAATAAATTAGATAACTGAGATTGTTAGTTGCTGTATCCTCGAAGGGGGTTGAAGAAGTGTAAAAAGATTGTCCCGCGGAGATGGTACGTCGTAAAACCACGTCCTTATAAGAACATTTATTACTGTCACGTTTTAATCGCATCATATATGTTGTTTTATATTTTGGCTAAATTTATCAATAATCGCCAACACCTGAAGGAATGATGTAAAGGAAGCAAAAGTAGTGTAAGTCCCCATTGTCCCTAGTGTGGTGATCTTCTTTCAGTTGCTGGCGAACTTTTGCCTTTTTTATATGTGTTGTTGAATGATAGTTATTTTTTACATGCTCTCAAAGTAACTTTAAATAATCATGTGATACTCTAGTTATTGAACTGTCCTTGGACGACAGGATTTTATACTTTCAAATGTATTTTAGGTACAACATTTGACAGTCATGATATGGCTTAAATATTGCCGATGTGACTTTAAATATTAATTCACTCACTCACCCATTATTTATGCTCCTAACATTACTAAAATGCGTTCCGATCCAACAAATCCAACTTAATTCCCCAATGTAGAACTGTTTCAGAGGTTCCACCACTTGTGATTTCTATATTATTGCTTTAAATCTAGATCTGGGTCATACCTCTCAATACTGACCTTTTGTAAACAACTTTTATAAAGTCTAACACATATAAATTAGTATATCAACAGGAGTATGTACAATTATGAAGTAAAAACAATATTTAACATCCATTTTCACTGATGGAACCAAGGATGGTAGCACGCGCCAGTGCCGTTTGATAAAAAAATTATATCATCTAGAATACGAGACAACAGTTCCAGTATTCACTGCTGGGGCTATTCTAACAGCTTTGGTATAGACTGAATTACAGTCTGCATGTAAACAGTTTTCAGATTTTCTTTTCATGTCGTCGGTCACTTATCTTTGATTGATCAAATTATTTTAGGTATTTGTTTACCATCCTTTGTTGGTTATGCAGCAAAGGCTTCGCTCAACAAATATGTGACACCATTTCTTATACCATACAGTGATTGCAAACTTACAATAACATCTTACATTAAAGATCTAATGCAAAAGAAGTGGGACACCTAAATAAATGTAACAAATTACATGAAAATAAGCCAGGCATTGTTTACACTTCGTCGTATTGGCCATACCTGATATACGCAAGAATACAAACGAAAGGTGAGGATCTTCCGATATGTACCCTTGTGATAAGAGAACCACCGTCAAACACAGTTTGCTCCAATGTGTAGAGGGATAAGTATTTCAGAGTAATTTCCAGCCAATCTTTCATTAAGTGCCAGGAACTCAGGGACAGGTGAAACTGTAGCACGGGAACCATAAAGGTAGGTGAAGTACCGTTAATCCCCATGGTCCACAATACGGCGATCTTACTTTTGTTGCTTTCGATCTTTAGCCCACATTTTTATATTGTATCCTTGTTAAATGGTGAGATATATATTTGTCTCCCCCTCCCGACCCCTCCCCTTAGAAGGGACGGAGACATTATTTAGGGCATGGTTCACGTTGGCGTCGACGTTCCCATCCTATTCCAAACGATAGCTTGAAAACCGTTATTTCAACGAAACTTGGCATATACATTACTCATCAGCTGAACTAGTGCCTTGTGCTGTATGGATTTCTTTTCTAAATTATTATTTTTATTTATTATGTTTTACATTTCCATGGAAACAATTTCGACTTAGTCTGAAACGAGGGTAGGGTTCGTTTCCGGGCCATAACTTGAAAACCTTGCAACGTTTTTCAACGAAACTTGGCATATGCATAGATCATCAGCTTAACTGGTACCTTTTGCCCTTTTGAAATCTTAGAAACAATTTGGTCTCAATCAAGGCTTCGTTTCCAAGCCATAACTCTCAAACATGTTTTTATGCATGAAACCTGTTCATGTTTTTAAATGTCTTGTGTTTGCAAGGAAACGGTTTGGAGTCTGAGAAAAGTAGCGTCTGTTTCTCGCCAAATTTCTACAGCTTATTAATATCTCTGCATGAAACCAGTATGTTTAATTTGTTGCTATTGTCTTGGGATTTGCAAACACATTTACAGTAACGATTTAAACTAATGTATCAAAAGGAAAAAGGAGAGGGAGACACATGTTCTTTAAGTAAAAACACTTTCTAGTTATAAGTCAATCTGTGATATATTCATAGTTATTATATTGTCGTTTGATAACATTGTTTCAAGTCAAGTCATAATATGGCTGAAATATTACTCGACGTGACCTTAAATTTCAAATCACTCAGAAGCATATGAGGTATCAGCTTCATTGGGTCCGAAACCGCCTCTGTGGTCCAGTGGTAGAACTTCAACCCGGAGAGCGGAAGGTCCGGGGTTCGATCCCCGGCCGCGTCATACCAAAAGACGTCAAAATATGGTACTTGTTTTTACCCTGTCTGGCACTCGGCATTAAGGGGCTAAAACAAGGACTGGTCGGCTCTGAGTCAGTATACTGTGTCTGAGTAGGGTATTCATGTTAAACTGCGGCATGGTTTCTCAGTGGGCTAGCGCTATAAATCGGCATCAGTCCGGACTAGTACTAGCAGTCACACACACACACAGACACACACACACAAACACAAACACACAAACACACACACGTGCATTCACGTCGCTATATAAGTGCAATAATCGTGGACGCGACATTAAACTCCATTTCACCATCTCATTGGGTTCAGTTTCTGAGAAAACGATATATACAGTGCAGGAACATGGATTGTGACATAAATCCGGCAAGTATTTCAGGGCTGATCATGAGTATTGATAACCGTCAATTTTATTTCAGTTGTGGATATCTACCTGCTGAACTGACTGAATACAGACAGAGACGTGTCGTCTTGACACGATGAGCCTCAGTGCAGTATCAGTGATTTTGATTTTGGATTGGGGTTATTTCTACGAATGTTGTATAAATATGTTTTACACTTTCATTTGTATCACCATGTATTAATCAGAATAAAGTACTTGTGAACTGATGACTTAATGTGCAGACATCAGGATAGGACCATGATGGATGTTTTGATTATAAAATTATTTTAAAGATTTGGTTTCTCTCTTTGTTGTTTAACGCAACACATATCAATATTCCAGATGTACATGTATGACGGCTGCCTGTCCTAGTCTCCACTTGTACAGATCACTAATTCGGTCTAAAGTCGATTATGGCTCAATCATATGTGGTGGAGCGTGTAAAAGCGCGTAAACTGTAGATTCTAGCCACTAACAAGGTCTCAGACTCTGTCTTGGATCTTTCAAAACTTCTCCCGTTGACAGTCTGTAAATTGAGGTTGATGAACCACTTCTTAAATAAAAATATCTTTACAATACGTCACAAAATGATATTCAAATTAGTCAAATCCAGCTTGCAAATGCATTTTTGTTTATTAGGATCTTTACAATTAGAAGTCATTGCTTATTCCCCCTCCAGGAATGAAAATTAAACCTTTCATTTCTGCAGTTAATATTGAATTTGAAAATATAACTCCTTTCCGCCTGCTTTCTTCTCCCTAGCAACTAAAACAATCTGAAACAAATCAACTACAATCATCAAGAATTTAATCAGTTAAGAAGCGAATATGATATTAATAAATCTCTAATTACAGATTGATCCAAGAATGGTGACGTTGTTGATAGCCCCACTCTCTTTGTAATAAAAACTGTCAACCAGATTACCAGATAATGCTTACATTTCTACAGCTGAATCAAATGCCATTTTAACAGATCTGGAATATATAAATAGACAGACTAAACATAAGGATTTCATTATTTGGTCAGGCTCATTGCCCTCCCTTCAGGCAATAAAATATAATTCGTGTCAACATCAAGTTTTACTTGACATCATTGAATTACATAATAATCCTGCTACTGGTCAATATGACATCGTCTTTTGTTGGTTGCCCATCCATGTTGGAATCGTTGGTAACAATGGCTGCAGCTGCTGCTAAGGCAGATCTCAACAAATTGGTGACACAACTTCTTATTTCATACAGTGATTATAAACCTGTCATTAGAAGTTATATCATCTTAGTGAATCTGACAGAAACGGTGCTATTGTCAGCAATAGGTGCAGCTGATACCTTATCACCATCTTTCGATAATCTGTTTTATAGATTTTTGAAGGAGATATATTTATAACAACTTTCTTCAGTTTTGTATGGATTGTATGGATTGCCATGGTGGTATTTCAGAAAAGTTATATTTAGAAATATTGGTATTTAAATTTACGTCTCTGATATGTGATTGTATAGATAGGTCGAATCGACCTTGGTTTGTTTCCTACAAACCCCGATAAGCTGGATAAACATACAGTTGAAGCTGGGTTAGATGGATTAGAGTGAAGCTCAAAAATATACTGGCGTGCTATTTTAAATTTTCTTGACTTTAGGCATGGTGCATTTGCTTCGAAATATAAGCTCTCGATAGGGGACGCTCTTACTACTCCCAGACATAGTCTAATACCTTGATTGTTAATTGTACGATATGCGGGCTGATCAATAAATGAAACATCTATAGACCAGATTCGAATTGACCATTTAGTATTTGAATCAGCCTTCATAATATCAAGTGCCCTTAAACTTTCAACTTTAAGGTTCTTTATATGTGGATTAAAGGATAATTTATAATCAAATGTAATGTCTAAAAATGTGGCTTCTTCAACTACGTTAATGGGAGTTGTATTGGCATAAAGTAATTGAGTGAATGCTGTTCAATAATGATAAGAATAGTAATAGCCCGTGTACATGTCATAGAGTGTAATTTCGTTTGTCTGCCAATTTGACAAACTAAACTGACGGCCAAAAGAAACGTTACCAACGATATTTCTAGGATAAAATATGACCAACACAATTTGAAGCAGCAATAACAATTGTATTGTAGAAATTCATCAATCAGAGCAGTAAAATGCGAATTTGCTAATTCAACAACAAAGTCCTTGACCTCCAACAGGGACATTTCTTGACAAGGGGTCATTCGTCCAGTATTCGATCAATAACATTGGTTACAACTTTAAGGTGACGACGGCCCAGACCGTTCAATACGGGATATGACCTCCATGAGCGGCAATGCATCTTCGAATGCGGCGTCGAACTGAGTAGACAAGCGTCCTCACATCGACTGCAGGTATCCGATTCCATTCCTCACGGAGGGCAACGATCAACGCTTGTCTCGTGAAGGGAGGATGTTGACGTTTCCGAAGACGACGCCCCAGCTGGTCCCAGAGATGTTCTATGGGTGACAGATCTGGTGATCGAGCTGGCCACGGCAGGACGGTCACGTTGTTGGCGTTGAGGAAGTCTCTAGTATTACGGGCTTTATGGGGTGTGGCGTTATCCTGTTGGAACACCGTCCGTTGTTGACGTTGGATGAAAGGAAGAACCACTGACCTAAGATATTGTCAATGTAGCGTTGTGCTGTCAGATTGCCTTCGATGCTGACAAGTTCCGTCTTCTCGTCCTCGCAAATGCCGACCCAGAACATCACAGTTCCGCCCCGTAAGGTTCCACCTCCTGGACACAACAAGGAGCCGTACGTTCACCACGTCGTCGATAAACTCGCGTCCGCCCATCAGGTTTGAAGAGTTGGAGCCTGCTCTCGTCAAAAAACAGCACTCGCCGCCATTCCCTTTGTTTGCCTGCACCATGTCAATCTGGCACGTCGATGTTGACGGGTCAAGGTCATGCCCTTGAAAGGGCGATAAGCCCGGTCACTGTTTGTCTGCTGACCGGATCTCCTAAGCTGTTGGCAGCTGATGACGTCACAGTAAGAAATCTGTTCCTCAGATGGAGTACCCGTAAAACGCGGTCATCCTGCGGGGTCGTGACCTTTGGTCTGCCACTCCGTGGTCTGTCTGCGGTTCTGCCAGTCTGTCGGAGACGTGCGACCAGTCTGGTAATGGTCATCTTGGAGCAGTTCATGTTAATGGCAACCGCTCTCTGTGTCGCTCCCATCTGCAGCATAACTATGACTCTCTCCCTCTGGACAGTGGTCAGTCTTGGCATGTTCGTTGGTGTTAATCATCGCAACCAATGATAGGGAACAGATCCGTGCGTAATTTATACCCGGAAATTGTACGATAATTTGGGAAAGAATGTTTAAAAAATTTGCTGAAAAACACCAATATCTCCTTAAATCCGCAAAGCACGTGGAAAGAACGACAGAGAACATGAAGGCTGTATTCGTGAGATGTGTTCTTTACTGTTTTTGAACAGGTTGGCATCTTTGTTTCAAAGTGGCAAATCAGTTAATGTTGGTAACGTTTCTTTTGGCCCTCAGTTTACCTTTCCTGTATGTTGAAATAATAGACTGCCATTAAATGGACTTGAATGACTACCGGAGACTTCTTCGTCTTCTTTTCATGGTCCCGCGAGTCGGATGTGTAAGTATTTTGCCTAATTATGAGCTTTGACAGTGATGGCAATGATATAACCGGTGGAACACGGTCTCGCGCGCAAGACGGACGCCCTGTCCGGTTTTCGTCCAGGCGCAGTCGACCACCTGCCTATTTGTCAGATTATGTAGTTGACATGAATCATGAACTTAGATTAAATAATGACCCTTAACGATCAGAAATAAGTATGGGAAGTGCGCGTTCTACTAAACTAAGCGGCAAAAGAGAGTATAGGTTGGCAATTTGTAAAAAAACAGCGATAACTAGTGAGTTTGTGAGTGAGTGGGGTTTAACGCCGCTTTTAACAATATTCCAGTAATATCGCGGCATGTCAGCTTAATGTGGGAGGAAAGGCCAAAGTGATGCAGGTTAGGTTTCTGGCGTGCCCAAGGGACGCAACTCTGCACAGCGAATCGCGGCGCCTTAGACGACTGGTCCACCCGTGCCCCCTGCGATAACTAGTGGAAAGTGGGTATTGGGAATATGACTGCCCAGGAACAGGTACCAAAAAAACACCTCATCCGAACGCGCCACCTCTGACGGCGCTCGTGCAGTGACAAAAAAAATGGTGAAACAGGTTCCCCGTCTATGGCATTAACTGCACGTGCATGTTAGCTGTATAAATGCGTTCGTCTGCAGGGTATAACCACACGTAATGAAAGCATACAAAAGAAATGCCACGACTGTCACAGGAGGAGAGAGAGAGAGAGAGAGAGAGAGAGAGAGAGAGAGAGAGAGAGAGAGAGAGAGAGAGAGACATCGGTATGGACGAAATGGGGCGAACACATTTTCCAAATTGCCAGAAGGTTTGGTTGTACACCATTGACAGTAGCCAGTCTGATTCAACGGTACAGGCAGACAGGGACGCAGAACAGGCCTAGAACCGGAACCCGTGAAGATCCGGGGTAGAATAGATCTTCAGCAACCCATGCTTGCCGTAAAAGGCGACTATGCTTGTCGTAAAAGGCGACTAACGATATCGGGTGGTCAGGCTCGCTGACTTGGTTGATGCAGGTCATCGATCCCAATTGCGTGGATCGATGCTCATGATATCAATCACTGGATTGTCTGGTCCAGACTCGATTATTTACAGATCTCCGTCATATAGCTTGAATATTGCTGAGTGCGGCGTAAAACAACAAACCAACCAACCAACCTAGAACCGGACCACCCCGAGTGACAACACCACTGGAAGACCCATTCACCTGCGAAACAGATTCGTAACGGCGACGGCGACGGCAGCAACAGCGTTGGGACATACCATTAGCCAACGTACAGTACTACGACGACTTCGTGCTGCTGGAATCCGAGCGTATCGTCCTTTCCGAGGAATGGTGGTGACTGCTCAACATCGACGCCTGAGACTGCGATGGGCGAGGCAGGTTCGACGCTGGCAAGTGAGAAATGCGTCGAGTGCTGTTTACTGATGAAAGTCGGTTTAACTTGTTTCGAAATGACGGCAGAGAACGAGTTTATCGACGCAGAGGGGAACGTTTGGCTCCGGCGTGTATTCGAGAGGTCCATCCATTCGGCGGGAGAGGTGTCATGGTGTGGGGCGGTATTTGTGGAGATCAGAAGACTGATTTGGTGATTATACAGGGAAACCTGAACGCTGCGCAGTACAAGTGACCAAGTGTTACAGCCAGTTGTGCTTCCGTTCTTACAAAACCAACAGCAGGGGACATTGTTTCAACCCGACAATGCCAGGCCCCATACTGCAAGACTGACTCGGAGCTTTCTAAACCAGCAGAACGTTGACGTTATGCCCTGGCCTGCCCACTCACCCGATATGAATCCTATTGAACATCTGTGGGACCATCTTGACAGACAGGTTCTAATCACGCCATCAGCCTCCCGTCAACAGACAAGAATTGCAGAGGCCCTGAGAGACGAGTGGCAACAGATTCCAGTCCACGTCATCAGAAGACTGACGCCATCGATGAGGCGGCGTATCACAGCATGCATTGAAGCAGCTGGAGGTCATACACGCTATTGAAGGCAATTGTGTCGACAATGAACTTGTAGTGTGTCTGACAATTTTTTGGTGACATTTCAGACAACTTTTGAAAATGAAATTTCTTACCCCACCATTGTTTACCTCGAGTTTACATTACCTGTGATTGCACAATTTCATTCAAACTGTGGTTGATCAATCATTTGTTACCTCTCCCTAGATTATATAATAATTCACAACAAAACCTTTTTGATAATTTTTTATCGATCATGGAACTCGACCTATACCTTCTTTTGCCGCCCAGTTTAGTTCGTCCGTTTTGGCAAGACTAAGTGATAAGCAAATGGCTGAACTTCAGAAAGTAAAGCGTAGACATGAACTTGATGAACTTAAGAAGCAGTAGAAGAAGATAGAGAGATAGCTGTTCATAATCATATGGAGGCTGAAGTATCTGAAACTAGACATAAGTCAGATTGAAGAGGAGTATCAAGAAAGAGAAGGAAAGTAGGATGTCACAGGTTGCTGATGGACCTGTTTCACTACAATGTATAACAGTAACAGTATGGCAACGTATGATAATTTTAGCCAAAACGCCGGATAAGTTAGGTGTGAGTTGTATAAGTTAAAAGCACGCTGGTATATGTTGTAGTACGACGAGCCTTAAAAACATTTTTCTGCATGCTCAACATTTTCGCCGTATGTGAAGGTATGAATTATACGTAAGCTCTACATACGTTTACATACGCCAGATATACGTTACCCATACGCTGATAAACTGACGTCCAAAAGAAACTGAAAATATAAATTTCAGACAAAGTAAAAAAATTTTTTCGATGAATTCTATCTTAAACACATAACCTAAATACAACAATAGTATATGCAGAAAATGTTAACACGCGAAAAAGTGAAAAACACGTGCACCACGGACAACTGCAAATACGCGTGCGGGAAAGGGTATAAAACGATTGCAACGGCAAGTCAGACATCCACAGTGATAAAAAAACACAAAAGAAATGCCACGACTCACAGTCGAACAACGTGAACGAGCCTTGGATATGGTACAGATGGGAGCCACCCACGCCCATATTGCACGAACCTTCGGTTGCTCCCATGTTGCCGTTACCAACTTGATGCAACGTTACAGACAGACAGGGCGGACGGCTGACAGGCCAAGAACAGGCAGACCCAGGGTTACCACGCCCCATGATGACCGGTACTTTCGTACCTTGCACCTCCGAAATCGCTTCCTGACAGTGACGTCATCGGCGTCAAATGCCTCAGGTCACAGGGTTAGTCGACAGACAGTGGCCAGGATACTCAGGGCTCATGGAATCAGGGCTTTTAGACCATACAGAGGACAGCTATTGACAGCGCAACATCGTCGTCTGCGATTGAGATGGGCCCGGACTGTACGACGTTGGCAACGACGTGACTGGCAGAGGGTTGTCTTCACTGACGAAAGTCGATTCTGTATGTTGAGGGCTGATGGAAGACAACGTGTTTACCGCCGAAGAGGTACAACGAACGGCGGCGTGTTGCGTGCAGGAGGTCGTGCCATATGGTGGAGGGAGTGTCATGGTGTGGGGAGGGATCTGTGGGCAGGAGAGGACACCGCTGGTCATCGTTGACGGAAAAAAAGTAAGCTCAGCGTTCCATGGATAACATTCTTCGTCAAGTTGTCCTACCATTTCTCCAACAGTAGCCACGTGGTGTCATTTATCAGCATGACAACGCTAGAGCCCATACAGCCAGAACTGTCACTAGCTTCCTCGCAGCCAACAACGTCAACGTCCTGCCGTGGCCTGCACGCTCACACGACATGTCCCCCGTAGAACACCTCTGGGACTTGATGGATCGTCGTGTTCGACAACGACTACACTCTCCAGCCAACCGGCAAGAACTGATCTTGGCCCTCCTAGAAGAATGGCGTCAAATCCCACGTGACCTCATCAGACGACTGACTTTTTCTGTGCGTCGAAGAGTTTTTGCGTGTATTGAGGCATTTGGTGGTCACACACGCTACTAATGACTTGTTATTGAACGTGAGCGATTGTTTATGTACTCTGCCTATTGTCCATGATTCTGAAAGCTCGAGTTTTGTACCACATCCGACTTTGGGGGGCTCTGACGTCATTCTCGGTCGCGGTATGATTGTCATTTTCACTGTTGATTATGTTGATATATTGATCTTCTCATTACACTTTACTTCATGCTTGTATGTTTTGTTGTTTTTGAGCAAGAGTGATTTCAAACTCTGGTACAGTTTCCCTTGGACGTCAGTTTATATGTCGACATAAGTTGGCTGAAGGTGTACTGTACACCAAACGTATTGATAACGCATGCGTAACCTACTTCTAACCTAGGCATCTTTCAAGAACAAGCTGCTAGCCAGATTGGGTTCCTGGATAACCAAGCAGCATACCAGCCTCAGGGAACCGCTCGAACCTGGCTTGAAGATTGCCTTGACTTTGTATCACCTTGCCTCTGGAAGCAAGTATGCCTCGATGAAGTTCCGATGGGGGGTCCCTCACAACACCATGTCACTCGTCGTCAAAGAGGTCTGTCAGGCCATCATCGACAAATACATGGACGAGGCGATAAATTGTCCAACCACTCCTGAAGGATGGATGCCTCCCCATACACTTGGAGCACTTGATGGAAAGCACATTGCTTGCCGGTGTCCTCGACAGAGTGGGTCCTTGTACTACAAAGGATTCTTCTCAATTGTTCTGATGGGGCTTGCAGATGTTAATTACAAAATCATCTGGGCAGATCTGGGTGGCGCTGGGTCAGCATCAGATGCTCAGATTTACAATGACTCTGAGCTGAAACAATGCGCTGAAGATGGTACCCTCAGTTTCCCTGACACAGATCCTCTTCAGAATGACAACCAGGATGTGTCTTACTTCTTCATCGGCGACGATGACGTCGCTCTACGACCCACCATGTCGAAGCCCTATCGCCTGCGAGGTCTGAACAAAACTGAGTGAATCCCGTGCATGACCCGTCCAACGCCAAGCTCATCGTCAAAACATGTATGGTCCTGCAGATCCTGAAGAGGACCCGGTACCCAGGACTCCAGAACCAGCAGCTGGACAATGCAGAGAATGAGGGGATTTCGTCTCCGGAGCATGTCGAGAGGGTTGTAACTTGGTTGACACCCTAACAGCCGCTGGCCTCTACACCTCCAACAATAAAGGAAAGGAACAGAGGAATCTCCTCAAGCATTGGGTCAACTCCCCAGCTGGTGCAGTTCTGTGGATGATCTAGACCTCCCACTTGTTTCAATTGATCATCATATTTCATATGTCTATTGTAATAAATAAACGATGAATTTGTCTTTTTAAATGTCAATCTTGTTTTGTTTGTTCCGATATGGTTTCACACAAAATTTCATTTTTCAATCTTTATTTTTTAACAATTATCAACTGATCAATAATACTGGCACATGGTAAAATGGTTGCATCTCAATTTTCCGACCTCTCTATGTTCCGAACGCGCCAAAAGTCGACTATGGCGCCGATTAAAAACGACTTGTCTTCCTGGCACCATAGTTGACATTATCGGCGCTAATTGAACGCTCAAAACGGAGGGAGGGAGGGTGGGTGTGTGTGTGTGTGAGGTGTGGGGGATGTTAGTCATTTTGATCAGCGCCATAGAGAGCTCGGAACATAGAGAGGTCGGACTCGGTGATACTCGGAACTCACAGGCCTCGTGGACTCTCTTCTGGAGTGACTGCAAAAGTGTTTTTTCCCTCAGTGTCCTCCTCCATCACCTCAGACAGGATCTTGTTGATGGCAGACATCGCCTTCTTGAATTTGCGCTTTGACATGCTAATCAGACTTTCATGCATGTATTTCGCGAAGGTGCCCGCTTGGTGATGGGCTGCTGGTGGGACTCCGGACTCGTGGACTCTGGAGTGACTGCAGGAGGTCGTTATCCTGTGTCTGCTTGCCTTTGCGCACTGTGGATGTGGAAAGGGAAGTCATCACCCTAAAGAACAACTAGCTGTTCGGCGCTGGCAGCCTCAGCAGCCTCAATATCACCTGCTTGCGCCTCAATAGTGGCCTTGACGCTCAGGGCAGTGTCTGGTCACAGTCTTTAGAAACCCGAATCTGGACTTGGTCCAAACGTCACGCTCGGTCTTCTCAGGTATACCATCCCCACTCTTCTTCTTGTCAAGGCGGATGAGGGTGTCCCGTAGTGATTTGAAACATCCCTGGAGAAAGTTCTGAGGTCTTGCCAATCTGCGTGGCCTAGTCCTTCCAAAGCTTGGCTTTCTTGTCGACTCTCCTATAATCGGTCATCTTGACATTCCAGAGGACTGGATTCTCATGGAGGAACTGCAACATGGTCTCTTCCTCTGGCATAGTCAGTCTTTTTGGCCCTCTTCTTCTTTGTCTTGACAAAGATATGAGGGCGTTAGGGCGAGCGGACGGCTCCCTCCGCAGGAACTTCTACAGTTCCCTGAACAGGAACTTATACAGCTTCCACCACAGGAGCTTCTACAGCTTCCTTCACAGGAGCTTCTACAGGTTCCTCCACGGGAGCTTCTACAGCAGGTGGAGGTATGGTTGTAGATGACAGAAAGGCACTAATCTTTATTTAGCGGTATGCGGTTGAATGGCTTGGCTTGGACAGGGGTGGTAACTGCGGGTGGATGGTATGAGAGGAAAAAGCATGCGGGGTGGCGTGAAATTTGAAAGTGTGCATTGCTGTGAGTGATAACCTGATGTACGGCTGTTGTCAACGCTATGATTCTGCCACGAAATTTGTAAGTAATACATTGCAAATGCATGCATGATATATTTATTTAAGAAAGGAGTGTAATTTAATATGTTGTTCGTTTAAAGCCAGAATTATTTCAGAGTTACCACCGTGTTGTGACGTGTGCATGTTATTACCGTATTTACCGTATTTTTGGATTATTACGGAGTAAGTTTGTATTGTGACAAGCTAGCTGTGTTTCGGACATGAGAATATGCAAGTAAGTTTGTTGTTTTTGTATGGTTTCAGCTTGAACCTGCTTCGTATGGTATACGTTGAACATTGACTGTTTGGATCACAGAATAAAGCAGTGTGTGAGAAAATGCAGAATCTGATGTTTATTGACTTTTGAAACCCACATTTAGTTCAAGAAATTTCCACGATTGTGATTAAAGGGAAATAGCTGTGGAAACTGTGAATAAAGGCATTTAAAGGCGATGATGGAGATGGTGCTATTGCTGAAGCAATAAGGCATTATCGACAGGAAAGAGGTGGTATTAAAGCTGCTCTTACAAGCAAAATGAAAAAAATTAGAGACTTGATGAACTCTGACAATGTTGGTGAAGTTGAATCTACATTCAGGATCATAAAGCACACTTTAAATAAATTATGGATTAAGAACACTGAATTGCTTGAATCTGTGGTAAATAATCCAGATGAGATTGTTGATGCTAAAAGATATATGGCTGAAGTTCAGGCTAATTATGATGAGCTGAAAAAGGATGTGAAAGTTGGGTTGGATACACAAGTAGGAAAGCTAGATGACATTCAACCAGGTGATTCGGTAAGCCAAACAGGTAAAAGTTCTGTGTTAACTTCAAGTTCCAAAATGAAACTGAAAGCCAAAAAGGCTGCTTTACTAGCGAAAGCTGATATGTTAGAGAGACAACAATCACTCAAGAGACAGCAAGCGGAGATACAGCTAGCACAAGAGAAACTAGAACTAGAGTGTGAAATACATGCAACAGAGGCTGAAGAAAAGGTATATGAAGATTTTGAAGCTGAACTGACTCAAGGGTCACATATTCACAAGCGAGAAGGGCCTCTAAAGGGATTTCAGAATAAGACTTTTGACCAAAGACATACATCTCTTAATCCATTAGCTGGAACATGGATTAACAAAGCTTCAGCAGATAATATGCATCATAGCTCGGGTATATCAGGACATGTGCACACCAATGATGAAAACTTTCAGTCACATCAGTCCGACTCAAATGTCTGGCTTATGCAACAGAAGATACTAGAGGTAGTGCAGTTACCAAAAAGTGAGTTGATCAAATTCGATGGTGACCCATTGAGATACTGGATGTTCATAAGTTCATTTGAAACCAATGTTGCTCAAACATCAGTTAGTAGTGGTGCAAAGCTGAATCGATTGCTGAACTATTGTACAGGCAAGGCTTTGTCAGTGATTGAATGCTGTTCAGTCATGGATCCTGATGAAGGATATATGGAAGCCCTGAGCCTTCTGAAAACACGATTCGGAAGTCAGCATGTGATAGCAAATGCGTGGGTGAAGAAGATTAGCGAAGGTCCATGGTTGCGACCTACTGACGTTGAAGGCTTGCGTAACTATGCAGATATATATCCTGGTATAGGACAGCTGGTCGACTTTGTACTGCGAGCTGCCGAAGAAGCAAATGATCCCATATTTGGAGTAGTATCTGGAAACAGACTAAAGGATGATTCAACACAGAATAGACCAAGATCCTTTGAGAAGAAAGGTGTCAACTACAGTGTGCAAACAAGTGTGTACAATAAACACTCTTCAGATTCATTTTCAGGTTTTCCAATACCAAATTGTCCATTGTGCAGTGGCGAACATGCACTCTTCATGTGTCGGAAGTTCAGGGACCTGAAACCTGAGAAGAGACATGAGTTTGTTGTTGAAAAGAGACTATGCTTCAACTGTTTTTCGAATAACCACATGTCAAGAGACTGTCATAAGCCCAGCAAGTGTCAGGTGCAGGGTTGTATGAGAAAGCATTCAAGATTGATACATCTCCTGGCGAAACCAGAAACTGATGTTCATCAAACATATCTAAAGGAGAGAAACCTGAGCTCAACAGTGCCTAAACAAGATAAACCATTAAGGGTTGAAAGTTCTGCGTGCAATGTTGTAACTCAAGGACCAAGGGTAGCTCTTCCTGTGGTAAGACTCCAAGTCTCGGTGAAGACTGGTAACAGAAAGATATGGACATATGCTCTGCTTGACAGTGGAAGCACAAACTCATTCTGCTCCAATGAACTATTTGATGAACTTGGAGTAGATGTTTCTGAAACATCACTATTGTTGACTACACTGGAGAAAGTGAACAGCACAACGAGTACAAGGGTAGGATCACTGTTGATAACGGATGAAGGGAACAGGACAACCATAGAACTTTCACACGTATTTGGGACCTCAAATCTGTCCATTTGTGCATGTGATTCTGTCAAACAGCAGAACGTTGATGAGTGGCAGCATTTGAAGGGTATGGACTTTCCTAAAGTGGACAGAGTGCATGTGGGTCTCATCATTGGTCAAGATGTTCCAGTGGCGCTGACACCTATTGATGTGCGAAAGGGAAATGACAATGAACCTTATGCCGTGAAAACAGTGCTGGGTTGGGTTCTGAATGGACCATTGAGAGTTGTCAGAAATGGTGAAGTCATCTCACATTTTGTCGATATTGATCAAAGACTTGATGCGCAAGTTGAAAGATTCTGGAAAATAGAAAGGTGTGAATCATTGTCAAACAGCACATGTGAAATGTCGCAGGATGACAAAAGGACAATTGAGATATGGGATGAGTCTGCAGAAGTTGTGGATGGTCACTATGAAATAAAAATTCCATTCAGGAGCAGGCCTCCGAATGTAGAGAATAACTACATTGTTGCCGAGAGTCGTCTTGAATCACTTGGCAAACGCTTGTCAAAGGATGACAAGTTGTTTGAAAAGTATCAGTCGGGAATCAAGGAATTGATCGACAAAGGCTATGCTGAAAAGGTAAAGGAACAGGATATCAACAAGCCAGGTAAAGGTGTATGGTATATTCCTCATCACGCAGTTATCAACGAACATAAACCAGACAAGTTACGAATTGTTTTTGATTGTGCTGCAAAGTATTGTGGAACTAGTCTGAATGATCAAGTCTACCAGGGCCCAGACCTTACGAACAAGTTGATAGGAGTGTTGTTGCGATTCCGTGAAGGTCCCATAGGTATTATGGGGGACATAGAAGGAATGTTCCATCAGGTGAAGGTACCAGAATGTGATCGAGACTATCTAAGATTTCTGTGGTTCTCAGAAGGGGGAAACAATCAACCAGAAGTCTACCGCATGACTGTGCACTTATTTGGAGGGGTGTGGAGCCCAAGTTGTGCAAGTTCTGCACTTAGACGCACTGCAGAGGATAATAGTGCAACTTATGAACCTAAGGTTGTGCAGACTGTTCTTGAAAACTTCTACGTAGATGACTGTCTCAAGTCATTAATGTCAGAAATTGAAACAATTGAACATGTTCAAAATTTGTGTTCACTTGTATCACATGGGGGATTCAAGTTGAACAAGTGGATCAGCAACAGCAGAGAAGTGCTTCGATCCATTCCTGAAGAACAGACAGCAAAGGGGGTTAAAGGAGTTGACCTTATTGGAGGTACATTACCTAAAGAAAGAGCTCTAGGGGTTCTTTGGGACACCGAGAACGACGTCTTTGGTTTCAGAATTACAATAAAGAATAAACCAGACACAAGAAGAGGATTAATGAGTGTGATTGCGTCGGTGTATGACCCATTGGGATTTGTTAGTCCATACATTCTTCAAGCAAAGAAGGTTTTCCAAAGTGAAACAAGACTGCACAAAGGCTGGGATGAACTGTTGAATCAAACAAACAGTGTGAAATGGACAAAGTGGGTAGAAGACTTGCCCAAACTGGAGAACTTTAAGTTGTCCCGATGCGTGATCACTCAAGCATCAGAAGATGGAAGCTATGAACTTCATCACTTCTCAGATGCTTCGTGTGAGGGATATGGTGCAGTATCCTACCTTAGAGTGGTAAATAACGATGGGCCAGTTCAATGTTTTTTACTCATTAGCAAGTCCAGGCTGGCACCATTGAAGCAAATGACCATACCGCGTTTGGAACTATCAGCTGCAGTCATTTCAGTAAAGCTGGACGTGATGCTTCGTCAGGAGCTGAAAATGGAAATTAGTAGATCAGTATTCTGGACAGACAGTACAATTGTGATACAGTATATCAGGAATGAAAACAAACGCTTTCATGTGTTCATAGCAAACAGGATAGCTCTTATCCGTGAGAGTTCAGAGCCAAACCAATGGAGACATGTGGGCAGTACAGAGAACCCTGCTGATGACGTGTCACAGGCGCTGGATGCAGACAAAATGGTGTCCTCTGACAGATGGAAACATGGTCCTGAGTTTCTGTTTAAAGCAGAGTCTGAATGGCCCACAAGTACCAATCTCAGTCTAGAAATTCCTGATGGTGACAAGGAAGTGAAGAAAGCCACAACAACTTACACAACTGTGACGAATGGCTGCAGAGATCTGTTGTTTGACTTGTTTGAAAAATACTCCACGTGGCACAGCCTAAAACGAGCTGTAGCATGGATCCTGAGATTAAAAGGAATTCTCTATAATAGGACTCACAAGAAAACGCAATCTAAAATGCTGGATAGTGTGCTCAGTGTATTGGAGCTGAAGAATGCTGAGACTGCGATAGTTCAAGTGTTGCAGAGAAAAACATATGAACAGGAGTTGAAGGCACTTGAAGCTGGGAAGCCAATTGCAAGAAGTAGTACCATTTATCGACTGGAACCGATGTTTAGTCCAATGGGTGTCTTGTGTGTTGGTGGAAGGCTGCGAGCAGCACCTGTACCTGTTGAGAGCAAGCACAATATGATACTGCCAAGGGATAGTCATGTTACTACCCTAATTGTCAGACATTACCATGAAGTCTGTGGACATTCAGGCAAAGAGTATGTGTTGTCCCTTATCAGACAAAGATTCTGGATACCTAAAGGAAGGAAGTTAGTGAGCAAACTTCTGAACAGTTGTGTTGATTGCAAAAGACGTCAGAAGTCGCCGAATAACCAAAGGATGGCGGACCTGCCTAGAGACAGAGTGAGTCCAGGAGATCCAGCATTCACCAGTGTCGGATTGGACTGCTTTGGGCCATTTATGGTGAAACGGGGCCGGTCTGAGGTCAAACGTTATGGATGCATCTTCACATGTTTGACAGCAAGGGCAATACATCTAGAAAAGTTGGATGGATTGGATACAGATTCTTTCTTGAATGGATTTGTAAGATTCATATCACGTCGAGGATGTCCGAAGACAGTTCGATCAGACAATGGAACAAATTTCCGTGGTGCAGAAATTGAATTGACACGATATATTGATGCCTGGAATTTGAAGAGAATTGGAGAGTTCATGAGCAAAAAGGAAATCTGTTGGATGTTTAACCCTCCTGCAGCTTCTCACATGGGAGGTGCTTGGGAGAGACTCATAAGGACAGTTCGTAAAGTCATGAATGCTTTGTTGAGGACGAACCGTCCACTGGATGATGATGGTCTTCATACTCTTTTTTGCGAGATTGAGTCGATTGTGAATGGACGACCAATCACAGTGGTATCAGATGATCACAAAGATGCTGAACCTCTGACTCCTAACCATCTTCTGTTACTTAGATCAGGTCCTGATTTACCTTTGGGAAGTTTCCAAGCAGCAGATGCATATAGAAGACGCTGGAAACATGCTCAGTTCCTGGCGGATATATTTTGGAAACGCTGGACGAAGGAATATATGCCTTCACTACAATTACGTCAGAAATGGTTACTGCCAAAGAGAAACATTATGGTGGGTGATATTGTGTTAATTCTGAATGAGAATTGTCCCCGGAGAAGTTGGCCTTTGGCAAGAGTCGTGGAAACCTATCCAGGAAAAGATGGACTAGTACGCAGCGTTATGGTTCGTACAGGAGGTTCTGCGCTAACCAGACCTGTTGACAAGTTATGTCTGTTGGAAGGAGTCCATGAGTGACTTACCTTTTTCATCCTTTTGTGAAGTAGACATTGATGATTAATTGGGGTGACCAGTATTTGTGTTCAGAAACTGTTTTGTGAAAGATTAATTGTGTTCTAGTTTATTAAATGCGCGATTAACATGTTGTTTCTCTGCGCATTTAAGGGGCCGGAATGTAGATGACAGAAAGGCACTATTCTTTATTTAGCGGTATGCGGTTGAATGGCTTGGCTTGGACAGGGGTGGTAACTGCGGGTGGATGGTATGAGAGGAAAAAGCATGCGGGGTGACGTGAAATTTGAAAGTGTGCATCGCTGTGAGTGATAACCTGATGTACGGCTGTTGTCAACGCTATGATTCTGCCACGAAATTTGTAAGTAATACATTGCATATGCATGCATGATATATTTATTTAAGAAAGGGGTGTAATTTAATATGTTGTTCGTTTAAAGCCAGAATTATTTCAGAGTTACCACCGTGTTGTGACGTGTGCATGTTATTACCGTATTTACCGTATTTTTGGATTATTACGGAGTAAGTTTGTATTGTGACAAGCTAGCTGTGTTTCGGACATGAGAATATGCAAGTAAGTTTGTTGTTTTTGTATGGTTTCAGCTTGAACCTGCTTCGTATGGTTTACGTTGAACATTGACTGTTTGGATCACAGAATAAAGCAGTGTGTGAGAAAATGCAGAATCTGATGTTTATTGACTTTTGAAACCCACAATGGTGTTGTTGGCTCTTGCTCAGCCCCTGGCAGGTTTATTCCTGGGAGGCATCTTGATGATGTTGACAGAGCGAAGACTACTGCTTGAATAAAGTAATTTGATGAATGGGTGTACACTACCACGGGACCTGTTTTAGGCACCTTTCCCCCATGCTGAGCGCGCTATTCATACGTTGAACACGCCAGACACATGCTGGCAACACTTTTATATGCTGTCATAACTTGGGTATAAGTCAGTGATATGCTACTAATACGTTAGACATACGTACATATACAGTGAATTCGTTATGTATACGCTATGGATACGTCAAAATCATATTTTTTTCGATGACAGCTCGACGTATGACAGCATACTGTTACACGCTAGGTGCAAGTTACTGTAAAACGTTGTAGTGTGGCAGGGCCATAAAGAAAGAAACTTGAGAGAAACTGAGAATAGGTATAAAGAAGCAAAAATAAAGTTCATCAAAGATTGACAGTGCTGATAGGATAAAGGAGCCAGGTGTCAATGAGACATCCTATCCCAGGGAACTCAACACTGAGGTAACATACCCAAGGCAATTTACTGACCAATGTGAAGCAACAACTGATAGATTTATCAAGCCTGAAAGTGAACATTCAGATGTTGACCATAATCACACCCTCAATCCAAAAGTGTTTGCACCTAGATAGAATAAGGATTCCCATGTCAGTCCATCACCTGGTATTGTTCCTCGGCCTAAACTTGCTTCAGATGTTCCCAGTGTTGATTTTGACCCGTGAAGATTCCAGGGTAGAATAGGTCTTCAGCAACCCATGCTTGTCGTAAAAGTCGACTAACGGGATCGGGTGGTCAGGCTCGCTGATTTGGTTGATGCATGTCATCGTATCCCAATTGCGTGGATCGATGCTCATGATGTCAATCACTGGATTGCCTGGTCCAGACTCAATTATTTACAGACCGCCATCATATAGCTGGCGTTAAACAAACAACCAACCAAACCCAGTAGTGATTTGACCATGAATGCAATGCTGATTTCATCTGTGATGTAATTCCTAAACCTGCTCTATCAGAGTTTAAGAGTGGTAAGGAATGAGACTTTATCTTACTGAGGATGACATTTAAGACATAAGTTGATGTTCATCCTAACCCGACTGAAACTAACAAGTATCAACTATTATTGGATAAACTTGGTAATAAACCATACAGCTTGCCAAAGCCTTCACGTTTCACCCTAATCCTTATACAAGAGCTGTTCAGGTTGTTCAGTTGCAACTCACATATGGTTGTGCGGGTCAACTGATTCAGAATGAGATAAATGCCTTGCTTAACAGTCCACCAATTAGATTTGGAGATTATGATGCCTTTGAGAACTTTGCCCTACGTATATAGTCGTTAGTTGGGATGTGGAAATCCATGCAGAGTGGAGCTGAACTGTATTGTGCTTCACATGTGTCAAATCTGATCACTAAGCTTCCCCATGGGATGTGTGATAACTTTACAGAGTACTGTATCAAACAGGAACTGTATGAGTCTGGATCGTATGCAACATACAATTTAACCCACCTTGACCAGTGTTTACGGCTAAAATCAAGGGCCAAGAGATTATCTCATCAGGCAGTGCCTAGGAGGGACTCCAGCAAGTCTGACAAGTGAATGTGTTGCCGTACAATTCTCCCCATTCAACAAAGTAAGGAAACAAGTTTTGCATCAACATACTACACTAAAAAAAATTGCTTCAAATGGCAGACAACAGGTCAAGGCCAAACCAAAGTATATACCAGCTGATCATTTTCTGAATATATGCCCAGAGTTTAAGAAGCTTTCTGATATGGAAGTTGAATCTTGGTTGAGAGAATGGTGTTTTCAATGTGCGAGAAAACACAAACCAGAGGACTATAACCTAAAGAAACCATGTCAACTATATACTGAGTTGCATCTCACTGCCCTACATGATGCATGCAGGCATATGACAGCACAGAAGGTGATCTTTTTAAAGACATCTTCCCCCGTCTGCACAAGTATATCTTGATCAGCCATTCAGCCATTCAGTACCATGTTGAACCACCCAAAGAACCACGATTCATGAATCTGCTGTGAAGTCTCTAGATCTCTTGGAGAAACCAGATACTATTTTGCTTACAACAAGTCTGACTGGTTCAAACTTGGCTGAACTGATCGTACCTCAAGAGCCAGTTAAAAGGGGGCACATTAATGTACAAGTTATTAGTGACGAGGAAGACAGGAGGACTTCCGAGTCATGGTACATTTCTCATCATGTTGTGGAACACAATGGTAAACACAGGTTGGTGTTTAATTGCTCTTCTGAGCATGAAGGTAAAAACCTCAACAAGAAATTGTTACCTGGACCACAGCTGGGACCATCCCTACTTGGAGTTCTGTGATGGCACATCGTTAAAATTGAACCCATTTGCCGTTTCAAAGGCACTTTATGGCATTGCTGGAGATGTCCAGGGTATCCGAAAAATTTCATCTGGATTGCTGCTGACTGAATGTTAACATGCAAGACAACAATAACCTCACAAGCCCTCAAATAATGTGTTTCTACCCCAGTTATGATTTCACTTTTTTTTAAAAATCTGAACTCCAGCAGAGGTATTATCAGAGATAGGGAACATTATCTCTTTGATACGACAGAAATAGAAAGATAGTAAACTACGTTTAAAATGAACACGCTTATAACGAACTGACGGATATAAGGTACGGTTTTGGGGTCCCGGGCATTTGCTGTAAATATTGAAAGATCAGGGTGTTACACACGTCAAACGTTTCACATAAGAGACAATGGAAGCTTCAACTCAAATACAAATCACATGACATTTTAACAGCTCTCAATTGTATCGGTAAACAATCAAAGGATAAACAGTATATTATCTTTACCATCTCTCATGTCTTAAAAATATATCAATATAATTTCATACTTTGAAGTTTACATTGGTTCTTTCATGATGATTGGCTGAATGGGTAGTCACTGATCTGATATTTGGACTTCACACACCTGTGAACGGACAAAAAAAAGTTCACACGATGTAAACAATTTTTTTGTGAAACTGATCGTATGAACTTTTGCCGGAACTACTTTCCGGGTTTTCCCCGAAATCTCGTCCAGGGTTTACGATCAACTCGTTTTTCTATTTTCTTTTTAATCCCTGCATTTATCTGACTTATACGTAAATAAAGCTTTGGTTCTGCTGTTTGATGTCGTCTAGCTGCTACATGAAACAAAATGGATTGTCCTTACGGTGATTTGGATATGGAATGGCCATCTTTCAATGCTAATAACGCAAGTAAAGAAAATTAATTCTGTAAAATTACTGAGTTGAACGAAATTGATTTATTGAGCGATATTGACTTTGATGCCTTGTTTTCGAAAATGACAGGAATCTAGCAACAAGGAAAACAATGTAGTACCCTGCTCAGATGTGGCCGCTGACACAGAGCAAACGCGACTGCTCCTGATCAATCCCAAACCAAAACCCGATTCACTATCGTATCGGGCAAAAAATCTAGGATTTTGAGAAACCATAAAACATAAACATAAATTTTAAAAAACCACCAAAAAAACCCCTTGCCTACCTGTTTTACCGCTTGGTCATCGGAGACGAGAAAATATCCGTAGACGGAATCAGAAATCTACTATTCCGGTTTATGAGTTGGCCGACCTTCTCCGTGCATACTAGGTCGAGAAGCGGCGGCACATGAGGAGTGACGGGGCACAGAATGAAGCTGGCCACACAGTAGGTCCATCTCAGGTGACAAGAGACACCAGCTAAGCCAAGTATTACAGCACACGCGAAAAATCCCAAACTCCAAATATAACACTCCCTGGCGTTGACAATTAACACAAAACACGCAAGTTTCAGAGCACTCGGTTTAGTCCCCAACAGTCCATTCCGCATCGCCCGAATTGGTTTGTGATTATCCAAACACAAGCAACTCATTCATAAATCGGTGATATTCCAAATTTGCTAGTGCCATGAGAGGGTTCACGCGTCAGGGTGTTTTCCATAACTGCTCCATAAACGTCATTTTCAACAACAGTAAGTATAAATTTCACCCTCATGCTCCCGTTCGACTCGAAATGCACCTCTTTACAAACTTATGTGACGTAATATATAAATCCGCGCTTGGAGGTTGACCTCGCCTCGGTGCATCGAGGTCATGTTAATATTTTTGTTCACCTCCCTGTAACCTATTTTTAAGATCTGATTTATCCCAAATATTGTTTGTAAATTTGTTCAGAGAATGAAATTATGTTGACATATTTCTAGATTATGTTGTATATTTTCAAAGAACTATTTTTCTTTGCGTAACTGAGTATGAGTGGGGAAACGTATGTGACCGAGATCCGGCAAATACCGACAGAATAACATTGTTGCAATGTTCTTCGGCGAAACCAGAGGACTTCAAATTTAAGCACACATTGTTACGATATTATTCAGCGAGACCAGTAAACTACGAGGTATGAAATTATAAGAATTGAACGTCAGTTTGGATGGGTTCATTGAAGTGTGAACGATTTAAAAGCGCTTGTAAAAAATTCGTGTGAACCTCATTTTAACCAGCGCTTTTAAATAGTTCACACTTCAATGAACCCATCCAAACTGACGTTCAATTCTTAAGTATTACTAAGCATACACTCTTAAACGAAATCATTGTTGTACACATCTGTGATACCCCTTCTAATTCCATACTGTGATTATTAACCTGTGGTTAGATGTTACATCAGAGATCATTTGCAGAAGTGGGACAGCCAAGTACGTATAAATAGATTACATACAATAAAATCAACTATGGTTACACCTACTTTTCAGTCCAAATTTGAAGAAGTCTTAATCCAACGATGTCGTATTGGCCATTCTCGTTATACACATGAATATTTATGGAAGGGTGGGGATCCTCCATTCTGTGTCCCTT